CGAGCACGGGGTCGGGTGGCTCCTTGGCCGTCACTCGTCGCGCAACCGCACAGACCCCGCCAATTCGGATCCTAGCTATGGCGCCGTTTCCCCGGTTATTTTCCCCGACTTTACGCCCAAGCTCCGTCTGCTTTTCGCGCCTAGGTATCTTAACTAAAGCATCAGATTCTGTTTGTCATGCGTCTGGAAAGCATCTAAAATTTCGGTCATACTTTTACTTTCGCTTTCCGTCCATCTACAGGTGTATACAGCATGTACAGCAGAGTTGCGTCAACTTTCACCCTTCACTCACACCAAGAACAATGGATCAGTTATTGACTTTCTCGTAGTGTCCTTCCGGAAGCGATACGGTTTAACGAATTACATAATGATAATAAGGAATATCATTCACCCAAGCATAAAACACACCAAAAGTATGTATTTTACTTCTGCGGTCCTATTAACATACCTATATCTATCTACAAAAACACGTACACATGTAACACGCTCTCCTCAAACACACACACACTCAGGCGCGCGCGTGTGTGGGTGTGTAACTAAGTATGTATGTGTGTATGTGTATATATGTGTATGTATGTATGTATTTATGGATGGATGGATGGATGGATGGATGGAGAGATATATATAGGTATGGTAAAATGATTTCCGGTGAGCACTGACCAGGTCACCGGTGTAGAGCTAATGAAGATAGGTTAATAGATAGCTTATGAATATAGATTGACGAACTTTATGATAATTTCAGTGCATCTTCTCCCAGTAAATATAACCAACACGAGTTATTTATACATTTCTATTTTAACAACGATAACTGTGCAAAACACATTAACGTTCTATGTGAATGAAACATGACCCCGGGAAACATCATATTAAAACAATATCAGTGGTGGTGGTACTCCCCAGCTACAAAATGCATCACAGAACAACACCGCAAACATTAATTTCAGACACCCCTTCACCTTAAGTGGCGTAGCGTATTAATTGCATCCGTAATTTCAACTCTCTGGATGACACGAGTTTTCTTAACAAACTTTCCTCTAAATACTCTGAGCCAATATTACGTTTGGAATGGGAAGTTTTTGTCACAATCAAGAGTAAATTGTGGAAAATTTAACAATATAATTATATATATATATATATATATATATATATATATATATATATATATATATATATATATATATATATATATATAACGAGATGGAGATTTGAGATTGTGATTTAGTGAAATAAGAAGATAAGCTTGATTTTGTATTCCGTTTGCCATCTGCAAAATTGTATTTTATTCTATCGATGTGGTTTCATTTCTTTATTCTGGTCCTGCCTCGGGGTCAGCGACCAAGGCGGCCCTGGGACTCCGACTCCCGCATTACTTCCAAAGCAAAGCACCGAGCCCGGTAATGTAACACAAACTAATAACGGCCAAATATATAATTAAGCACAATATTCCCCACCAATTCTGCATCCATACGGCACGGCAACATTTGTGAGAAAATGAAATGCAACGAACAATAATATGCGAATTATTTACAAAAAAAACGCACAATCGCAATCTTGAACATGTGGTTGTTTAACGCCGTCTTCACAATCGGCGGCAGGTTATACCCGTCATTCATACATCATTCATTTCTCAGTAACTTTTAGGCCTGGACCTTTGCTCATAATAGTTGATTAGCCCTGCTCTAGAGCGAGGGTTCCCAACCAAAGAGTCTTGGATCCCAGGGGCTTACGGCATACTTTCTGGGGGGTCATGGAGCAATGTGAAAATTGTGAATTTTGTCTCGCCTACAGTACCTAATGTCCATGAGGGGAGCTCGGCCGATTCGCTAACGTGTGTCAGCTGGTGCTGACTCGGCTAAGCTTAGTCCTTCCTCGCCGTGGTGCCCAGCCACAGCAGTAACCTCCAGGTGACAATTGCAACTTCTCGCGCATGGGCGGGGCGTAAACCACCGACCCCTCGGATGAGAGGCCGACACGTTACCACTGTACTAGCCCAGAGGCTTACAATACCTACAGATACTTCACTCTTAAATTCCAATAAATTAGACTTTTCCATATTATGTTCTTTTCCTAAAGCTATTGACATTATTGCACTATCCATAACTAGTAATAACTGAATCTGATAAGTTGAGCAGCAATGAACGAGGCCATGAAAATTATTATATATTGGTCTGGGCCACAAAATAGTAAAGGATGGGAACCACTGCATCTAGAGTAATGAAACTGCGTCTAGAGTGAACTGTTGCCAAGGTTCATGTGGACTGGTAGGGTGGCTTTTTTGGAATATGACACCAATATTTACTTCTGGTTTAAGCTTGTTTTAATTACAACTTTACCAATCTTCCTTAAAAATGGTAACATTACTACTTATGTGCAATATTTTCTAGACATAATAAAGGCAGACACAGTTCTCTTTTCTGCACGGTTAATCTGCCCCTCATTGTTTTCAGGATTGTGAAAGTATTCCATACATGACTAATTTGCTGATAGATCACCCTACACAGTGTATACATACAGTATTCCTCTGGTGTGGCTGGTCACTTGGAGAATGATATGAGGACTGATACACTGGGTTTAGAGAACAGCAAAACAATGGTCATATTTGAGGATCTTAGCTGCAAATGCGTATGTATGTGTACTCGAGGTTTCTAGTAAATACCTTTTGCTTTGAATTTCCCCCTCTTTTTTAAAGATAAATTATTAAGAATAACAGCCATTTTAATATCTTTTTCTTAAAATAACCATATCTGAGAAAGGTAGGGATCATGCCCTGTACCATGTATAATGAATTAAACACTGAGAAAACATACTGGAAAAATAACTTTGGTAAAGTACATATTTTCCTGTTATAGTGTTTGCTGAATACAAACTGTCAGAAACTGAGAATTCCTCCTCACATATAAGACCATGTTTCTTAACCTATGGGTCCCTAAGACTTGGTCCTCAATGTATTATATCTGCTCTTAATAAATGCATAACTTCAAGGAAAAGACGACACTATGATACACTAATATGATTCCTAGACCACATATCTGTAATATAAGGTAATGAAAGGTCATATACATACATCAACACATACACATGGCCACACAGGCATAAAACCACTTGCTCTTTTCTTATTTCAATTCGGCACTTGTTATGGTTGTAACACTATTACTGCATCTAAAAGTTTTCCGTGTTTGGACTTTACACAAAAATGTTAACATTTAGGTTTGTATAGGTATTAATACGTTCATGTATGTATAATTTTGAAATTTGCAAAATCTTGTGTTATCACCAACACCTGAAGTAATTCACTTTACTTTTTGCAATTATAAAAATGGGGCACCATACAACCCAGTAACTCTTTTTACAAACTTATTAATGCCATTACTTTCTTATTTAACATTATAATGTCTTCACTACGCCCCATTGAAGAAAGATCTACTTGTGAATAACAAGCATGAGCTGTCCTGGTAAAGGCAAAAAACAAGCACCACATTGAGGAAAACAAGTTGCTTAACAATGGACATCAAGTTTTCCCCAAGGTATTTCCTGGTGAAATATGCGGGGGTTGGATTTCATATATTCAGGCAGAGTTTATGTTACTAAATATACAATCTTGAGTAGTGGTAAAAAAAAAACTGTTACTGTAAAACAATAATAAAGAAAAATATAATAGTAATAATAATAATAATAACTATAATGTATAAAGTCAGTCATAAATGAGAGGCCCATATGCTACAGCTCATGCGTACTTTGATGAGGGAAAAAATTTCACTTGATGTACCATGCACTATTTTATTAGTCACTTAGCACATTGCCATTACAACTGTCATCCTCACAAACAATTTAAACACTTGGAATAATATAAAATCACTATTATATTACTCTCAAAAAGTATACTCTCATGTTCTCATATAGAAAATCTAATTTAAATAGTCTAAATCTTTTTCACAACATTCAGTTTATACTGGGAATCTAATATCAGTCTTTGATAACAATTATCTATCTGGTATTTGAAATTCAGAACTTCTTCATGCAAGAAGATCCCAGCACTTGAAATATTTCCCAAATAAATAGCTAACTTGAAAACACTGAACTCAAAAATTGTTTCTAATGTGCTCACTTTTCTAAGTGCATTCACACACTTTATGTTGTTGTTGTATACATAATCCATGGATATTACACTCTGGACACAGCAACCACTGTTCCAATATCACCAGCACTAAGATAACATGGATTTGGCTCAAATTTTTGGCTTATTACTGGAATTAATCTTCCCTGTCAAGCACTGGCCTTCTCCTTTTTCCTCTCCTTCTCCTTCTCGTGGCGGGCTCGAGCCTTTTCTCTGGCAGCATGGTAAATCGGGAGCAGCTTCCCTTCCTCAGCTAAAATTTTCATCATATTGACTATGAGGGGAAGGTAGTTGTGCTTGCGGCGGATGTTCTCCACCTGCCACCTTGATCTCTTGCCCTCTTCACTCTCCAAGGAGGCTCGGAGTTGTGCCAGCTCCTCTTCGTGGACTGAGGTGGCCATGCCACTCTCCTGAGAAAAGGAACGGAGCCAACCAGTATTAGTAAAATATATGGCATTGGATAAATAAGCAAATATCATCTTTGCAAACATTCAATTTGCATTAATGGGTGGTTATGTTCATAGTTTTTATCCTCATAAAATATAGGTCAATTTTTGAAAGTACAGCCAATATACCTGTCAAAATATATGACACCACTGGCATAATCATCTACCAAGGAGTGGTAGGCACGGTATGGAGGAACATGTAATTTCAATCTTCATACAAACAAAAAATGCAAAATCAATTCATTACCTCAATCTGCTTCTGGAGCTGGGTAATAGAACGTTCAATGACCATCTTCCTGTCGCTAACCAGAGCCATCAAATTAAAATGAATTTCTCCTTCCCCAAACCTGAGAAAGTACAAAAGCAATGATATTTCCAAAAGTAAATAAAAATAAATGAATGAATCTACGAATTAGCTGTAAGTCAGATATAAATGAAAAATTACAAAATAGTATTTATGAAAACACAAAAATATCAATCAGACAATAAAATAAGCAATAAATATAGCATATTTTGCATAAATTTGTTGCAATTCAAAACCCCATACTTCTGAATTCTCTGTTGGATGACAGGCTGCACCACTGTGAGCCAGTCTGTGCCAGGCGAAATGGGGCCTAAGTCTATTGGCCCATCCTTAAGCCCATCAAGCTCATAGAGACGCCCCTCAACAGGAATATATCCAATAAAATGATATACGTCATCATCTTCACTGGGCTGCTTGCTTTCAAATTCAAAAAGGGTTTGCCTGAGGACAGAATATGTACACACATTATTTTAAAACTATTTACATCACAGTCACCGATAATTACAAAATCTAGCGAATTATTCTCAAAATGGTAGCAAAAAAAAAAAAACTTGTATTTTCCATGTATAGAATGGAATAATGCAGTAATACATTTTCAAAAGAAATGTAAATCCTCTCTGTGACATGGACATTTACATGAATTGGCTACTATACCATCTTTGTAATCTACAATGTTTCAAAAAGAAAAGAACTTATGGTACTTCTAATATGATGTCAACACATGTTTTAGTCATGAATAGATATCAGTAACTGTATTACCATTAGAAGGAAGTAATATAAAATTTACAAAAATATACATTTCTTATATCTTACCTAGCAAACGAATTATGAACGTTCCGAATTGTATCCGAATTGGAAAGAGCTAAGCCTTTCATGTGAGCATCAAAGGTCTGTGTGAATTCCTTAAATTCTGTTAGTGTTGGACCTAGCTGTACATCCTGATGCTTGGTATTTAACAATATGGACAGAATTGCTTGTGTTGCACAGGCATTGTTTATCATCTGGAAGCAGAAAATTATTTTAAAATCATGTCTCACTCAAACATTTATAGTAACATTATATATCATTCTAATTGCATTAAAATCTATTTATAATTTAATTTCAGTAAATAAATTCAAACATTACAGTAACTTGCAGCCACTCTTTACATTATAATAATATGTCTTAATACCTTAGCTATATGGTTTTGTCACAGAAGTCAAAAATATATACAAATTAGATGTAAATAGACATTAGCCAGAAACAGACTCCCTTTTAACAGTCTGATAAAAATCTAAGTCACCCACACAAAAATAACTTTTACCTGTTTAGCAAAGAATATCTTATCCAGGCGATTATCCTGGACAACTGTACCAGAAGGCTGCTCTTCCTGCTGCCATTTGAACAGGAAGATCAACCCATGCACTGGCCTGTAATCAGAAAGTCATCATCTCTCAAAACAAATATATTTTTTCTATTAAATTACATTCACAGCCTGACTTTATGGAATTAAAAAAATGTCACAAGAGTAAAGGGATACAATCAAGGTGATACAATGCACTCTCACAGATAAGGTGAATAAAAGCACTTCCCTTGTAATAAGTAGTATGAAAAAGGGTTTTGCAGTTACAGACTGTAAGGTTCCCAATGCTTAAGCTTTTGCCACTTACTTGAGTTTGGCAAAGGATTCTTCATCAAGACTCCATAACTCTTCAACCTGGACACCCTTGACCCCTGGAAGAAAAATGTAGTAACAAATAGTAAAAAATAGTAACAATTTTTAGTAAAATTGGAAAAAAGAAAACTTTTATATATGTATCTTTGTAACTGAACTTGGTACCAAAAAGACATGCTTATCTTAAGCACTTTACATAAACATTCGCAGATAATAAATGTTAACAAAAAGTCCGCTTTCTTATTCCTATTGAGATTAATCCTATGCATACACAATTGATACATATCACGATTAACCCATTCGCCCCGGATTTATGTTCTGTCTCCTGTAGTTTTTGGTGAATTTTGTTACATACAGATGGCTCCACATGTGCTCAGCCAGCAAGGAGTTTCAGTAGCCCATAGTTACCGACCCTGATTTTCCCATTCATTGAATTGGCGTGAAAATTAATACCATTGCTATCAATACTGTTATTTTTGTT